CTTCCCCTTCCCTTCCCTTTCCTTTCCTTCTAGTTGTGTCCACTTGCCTCCCTCCCTCCCACAGGCCTCAGCAATAGCCCTATCTCTTACCGACAATGCCCAAGAATGACAAATTCAAATGTTCTGCAAAAGGGGGCAGGAGGATGGGTGGGGCGGGAAGGTAGGGAAGGCATTTCTGTAGAACATGAGTCATGAAACCCCCAGGGCCTGTGGGATTCCCAGCTGGGCTGGTGCGTCTGCCCAGCCCCTGGCGACCTGGGCAGGTTAACACAGCTGCTACTCCAGTTGCTTCTTTTATGCTCGGCCAATAAAGACTCCTTATGTTTCCCCTTCTCCTCACGTTCCCAAAGCGGCTTCCTTCTCCCCACCTTCATCTGCCAGCTTCTCTGTCCTGGTCCCCATCCAGGAGGAAACAGCCTCTTTGATGCTGGCCTCTGTCAAGCCATCGTGTTAAAGGGGAACGAAATGTTTTAAATTAAAAAAGAAAAAGGCAAGAGGTGTAGTGACTGGGCGAGGCGGCCCCAGCAGCCCCGCAGGCCAGCGCGGGGGTTCAGGACAGCGGCAGGGAGGGAGGCTGAGGAGGAGGGAGCATCTGGGACCTATTAGACCGAGGGGCCGGGGAATGTCACCCAGAATCTGAAAATATCCCCGGAGTACAGCCTGCCAGCGGAGCCAGCCCAGCTGGAAGGTCCGAGCCTCCGGCTGGGGGAAGTGTCCTCATGGGAAGCAGGCTGCTGACAAAGTTCGGCCCACAGCAAGTTTTGGATGGCTTAGCCACATGCAGGCCAGATGCCCCATGCCCTCCGGGTCTGACAGGGCCCTGGTCCTCAGTGCTGGCTCTGGGGAGTCCCTGGTGACACAGCAGAGCTTGGGTGACGGCCTTGCCTGTTGTTGGCCGTCTCGGCTGCATGGGTACCCGCAGATGCAGCTGTGCAGCCGACGTGGGATTTGGCACCCTGCCGGGTCCCAGGAGAGCCATTTGCTCAGTCCCCCCCCCCCCCCAAGTGATATAAATTCCCTGGAAGATTTCACGGGTTTTTAAATCCACCACCACCATCACCACTGCACACATCTCCACGGCCCCTACTCCTTGCCAGGCACGATTCTAAGTGTTTTCCTTTAGGGAGAAGGTTCTATTACCCTTAGCTTGCTGATGAAGAAACTGAGGCACAGAAATGCTGAGTTACTCCCCCAAGGCTCTGCACTACTGTACCTCTCTCCACGCCTCTCAGTGAAAGAGCAACTCAGCTCACCCCGAATTGTGTAGAGCTGTTCCCTCTCCACACCTCTCCCTGCTCCTCTCTCTA